AAACAAAATCTCAAAAAGTATTGGGAAGAAAACAAAATACAAAAAAAGCCCCATCGGAAATATCTATATATGCACCACCGTGATACTCCTTCTTCCTACTTTCCACCTCTAAAACGCCATGCCTGTGAAGCCACAGAGGAACCCTGTGAGGGCACAGTTTCACAAAGCTGCGGCGGGCATCTATAGCTTTTTGTATGCAGTGTGGTCCAAATGTTTGACTGACAACCTTATGGAGATTGAGGAGCTGTGTTTGCATGGCCTGTGCTGATGCTCCTTGCCTCCTATGTGGTTTTTGCATCGACCCCTGACCCTCCCATATGCCAGTGCTTTCATACTCCATAAAAAACAACAGCTTTTTCCAATTCTCATGCAGGCCTTCCTCCAGGTTTCTGTGGTTTGGAATGTTTTATGTGCACCTTCTTTTAATCTCAGTATTGACTTGTTTCTGTTTCTGTACAGAGTTTGTTTTCTCTTTGTGAGGTTTTGCCATCTTGTCTCTTTCTACATATCACCTGTTTGCTGCGCTGCCTTTTCTCTCTTGCTGTGTCTGCTCCTTGCAATAGGTTACTGTTACATATTCAAGACAGTTCATTTTTACACCCCTGCCATTACATTAGGACAGTGAAGAGACTCTAGACATTCACTGTTCAAGCATGTCAAGGTCAAAGACAGGGATAAAAAAAACAAAAAATATGTGATCTTTTACTTCAAAACTGTCAAAAACCACCTCATCATCTTTTGTTTTTGGTTTTCCTTCTTGTTCTATTCAATCAGAGAAGTTGGCTACATAGTTTTGATATGCGTGCTCTGGTACATTTGAATGTGGCTCCATATCTCACGCAAGCCTCTCATAAATCAGCCCAGATAGAGTAGCCAGGGGCTGGATAGCAGCCACAACTCTGAATCACAGTCAGCGAGAGGAAGAAAAGGAGGGGTAGAATACAGAAGGTTTCAGGGTGTACAAACATGTCAAACATGCTGCATTGCTAGGGTGACGTGCACTCACATGAAAAAAACAAACAAATACAATTATTTTTATAAGCTATTTTTGACTTCTGAAAAGGATCATTAAACCAGTCAGGGGGATGCAGCTGAGAGAATCATCTTTTTTCATTTTGTTTTGAACAAAATAAATCCTTGCAGACTAAGCTTCACATAACTGCAGCAGACTTAAGCTGAACAAGAGAGGTTTTGTTTGATTTTAAAGTCAATACTCTAACTGTATTATATCTTCTCAGCTAGAGAGTTAACTCTTTGTATGTTTGTTGTTTGAAAGTATTGTTGCGTACAGTAATAAAGCTATACATTCAAGCTTTGCTCGACTTTCTGGACCGTAAATCGATCAACTTGCCAACTAACATACTGTAACATGTATGTAAACATATACTGGATATATATCAGATTTATCTGTCTGCCATGGTGTATAACTCTTAAGGCATGCATGAGGATGGGAAATGGGGTTTGTCAACTGACCTCATATAAGAAATGAATGACAACATTATCATAAATGTGTTTTGAGTGATTGATTCTTTTCTGGTCAAATGAAGTGCCCAGCTCAGCTCCTTACATTAGCTTGTGTTAGGTATTTATTTAATTGCAATACTGGGGAAGGGATTTTATTTTTGAAATCTTGAGTGTTGTGTCAGGGAAGAGTGCTTTTGAAGAGAAACATATCAAATTTTGAGTTTAATCTGAGTGTCAAATGTTGCTCATGTAAGTAACACACTAACTGTTGTCATGCATTGCCATGTCTTCTTTCTAATATTCATCTGCTATTAAAGTGCTTTATCCAAACTACAGAGTCACTATGGTTTTAAGTGCTTACGATTGTGAGATTTTAAAAGCCCTTTTCTAATGGATACCTTCAAGTAAGTGGTACGTGTGTGTGTGTGTGTGTGTGTGTGTATGTGTGACCATTGGTAAACCTACTGCTAGTGCTTAGTATATCAGTCATAATTGTTTTTAACAGCAAATATGTTTTAATGTAAAGAAAACTCCTCACTAGTTTTTCACAAAATAGGTTTCTTTTATGTCACAAATGCAAGTGGTTAACATGAAAATATCAGCAAAATCTTGAAATGTCTGTCTCGTATCTTTCTCGCCCACTGCAACTAATGGTGGAAGATTATTTGGATTATTTCAATCCATTCTAAAATACTCCTTTACAAATACAAGTCTTCATTACTAAAAGTTTTAGTCATCATTTTTAGACACTAATGCAACCGTCTTAATGTTGCTGCTCATGCTGGATCTACTCACGGAATAATACGTCTGTAGTAAATCATTAGTCTGTACTGAACCAATGTGTCACATTTACCACAAACAGTGTCCCTGTGGGGCTGTTTCAAGGCCTTTTTTTGAGTGTCTATTCTTTGTTCAATGTGTACTCTCTAGTGTACGTAACAGAAGCAAGACAAAGAACAGCTGACTGCTGTAAAATAAATAAATATAATAATACCAGTCCTCGCTGTCTTTGTCGTAGGTGAAAACTGTACCCTTACCACAAATTCTGGACACAAACAAAGCCATTTGGAAAATAAATGTGAACATTTTTTCCGTGAATTTCCAAAACTTGGGAGAGCAATTTAATTAAAAAACAAAACAAAAAACATACATATTCTGATAGAGTTATGTTTATTATTGGGCTCATCACTGACTTGGACATTAGAGGATTAAGGATAACAAGCGAATTAGTAATTTAACGACTGGTAAATGTCATCTATACAAACATTTTCTCTTTTTAATAATTAATAAAAGTAATGCAAAGTCATTTCCAAGATTAAATCAGACTGTTTGTTAAAATGCTCCCTACCCTATTCATATGCTAAAGTCACAGAATAGTGACTGGAGAGTCTGCACTGTGAACTTGCAAGGTTGACAGCAACCTCTCCTAAAACATGTAAAGCATTAAAAACTTCCTGATAAGAGAGCAACAGTAGTTCTTTATCATTTTGAGCCTATCTCTCTACTCTGTTACATATTGCACATGTACCTACGTGTGGTACTGTGTGATCGCATGTGGGAGCCTGTCTTGGCAGCCTCCCTAGATGCTGCCTAGCCCCTAACTACAAAAAAAAGAAAAAAAGAAAATCTCAGCTGCTGTGGCTCTAGCTGCTGGCGCTGCACACCCAGAGCTCAGCCAGGGGGTCCTCGCTGCAGCGCTCCACCAGGCGAGTGAGTTCCTCCGGACATCGTGGGCCTCTGGCTGTTCCCGCTAACGCCAACTGTTGTCTGGCAGAGGGTCGTCTGTGCCATACATGTCTATGTGTCAGGTCAAGTCTTAGACGCCCCTTAGAACATTTCAGGATCCTCCAGGTGTTGGGCCTATTTGCCCTTACCGCACTCCCTGCCAGTGCCTCAAGCCCCCACCCACTGGTGCATTGGTGGTTCCCCAGTGTCCTGTGCTGGATGCTCAGGTGTGTTTGGTATGGATACCAAAATTTGTAGTATTGCACAGCACTACATCAACACTCAGTAACTCTGTAAGTCTACATGGCCTCCCATTCATAGTTGCTTCCACTTTGCAATAATACCACTTTTTGTATTCTCGTAGAACATCGAGGAGGAAAGAAAGAAATTCCCAAACTGTTGGATCTTGTTACAATACCACGGTCAAATTCAACGAGCTCTTTCTAAACTTCTTAGGGTTCATGAATTTATTGTCAAAGAATTGTGGTTTCATTAATATTTAATATCCCTTCTAGTTAAATCCAAACTGGATGTGCAGTGCCTTTAGGGGAGATCCAGAGATCTGTTGCATCAATAAATAATTTCCTTAGAGACTTAATTAGAAAATGAGCTTGTTCTATTTAACATAAACTATCCAGCCAATCACTACAAGTCATTTTCTCCGTCCTTAGTGTTCAGCCTCACATTCAACTCACTATATGCTCTTTCTTTTGTCTTTGCCACTTCTCTCTTTGCTGTATGACTTGCCTTCGAGTACTCCTGTCTACTTTCTCGGACAATCCTACTTTTGCTTTGCTAAGATATTACTTTGAATGCCTGCATTTCTTCATTCCACCATCAATTTTTCTTGTCTTCTTTTTTCTGTTCAGAGGATTTTCTTTCTTGACAGTTTCCCTCACCATTTCTGCTGTACTTTTCCAGTCATTTGGCAATTCTTCCACCTTGACACTTTTTACTCAGCTCCTCCCTGAACTCTGTGCAACATCTTTCCTTCAACTTCAACCATTTAATCGCTGCCTTCACTCTCCTCCTCTTCTTGACTTTGAAAGTCATGCTACAGATTAACTTCCAGTGCGCTCTAGCTACATTCTCCCCTTTGATTTCCAACTATAAACTCACAAATCCATCTGATGCTCTCTTCGACTCCACAAACCTATTCACATGTTCTTCTTTCAAGATGACCCCTACTCTATTTCTCTTCCTATCTACACCATGACGTAAGGCAAAGGAACGTAGTTAAAGCTATGACTGTAAAAAAAAGACTATAAAAGGTAAATAACTATAAATATTGTCTCTTTTTCTTATGTTTTAAAAAAGAATATTATAGAATTATTTTCCCCTTTAAAACTTGTCTCATTTCCAGAAATGGATCTGAGAGGTGATGATGAATAAAAAACTATCAGAAACACAAGCTTTATAAAATACATGGTATTGTTTTGCTAAAGGCTGAATAATTTTCCTAAACGTATTTTTTTGTTTTTGAGATGAAGTCTCACAGAGTTAAATACTTTCTAGTTATTTATCTATGTTTTAAGATTAAACATTAACTGAGCCCTATAGTTTCATAGTTTGTGTGGGCAAAGAGCAGCAGATTTTTTTGTTTGTTTGTTTGTTTAGGTGTGCTTTGGTGCTCCAGTGCGTTGCGACTGTATATGCCAAACAGCTTTCACTTGCTTTCACATGGCTACACAACACGCTCTACAATGGGTCCTCCGGGCCCACATGGCCACGAGACCCGCCTCCCGCGATACAGCCTATGATTGGACGGCGCTCCTATCACTCACTTCCTGTCAGAACAGGGTGGAGGAGACGGAGAGGGGGGTGCTTGACGGGTGCACCCGCCCTTCCTTTATTGTGACCGGCTGGAGAGGAGTTATCCATGTTGTCCGTTGTAACATGGATAAGGAGAAAAACGACAAAGGTAAGCCGCTGTCTGGATTCAAACGACCTCTGGTCGTAGACTTTATTTAACAAGTTGCTCGCAGTTCGTCTGGGTGTGTTGCTGAATTCATTCAAAAAAATTGATGGAAGCTGTGTGCTGGGCTTTATTTACTGCCTACATTTTTAAATAACGGTTTAATGACACTAAATTCCTATTGGTTCGTTTGTGATATTTACTGTCCCCAACTCTCTGTAGTTGTACCTTTGAGTAGTCTTTTGGTGTGTGTGTGTGTGATACTGTGTAGTGACTACGCTGTCTTCAGTTGCATCTACTCTTTGATATTTTCATTTCATTTTCCTATTTAGACATTTTAGTGTATTTTCTTTAAAGTATTTTTTTTTTTTACATGTTTTGTATTATTGGTAAATATTAAAGGACATTAGAATAAAGCTACAAAGGGCCATGTGGTAACACAGACGAAGACAGGAAAAGGAGGAGGCAGGGAGAAAGAGGTGTGAATAATTGGTAGACCTTGGGTGTGTGATGCCTGTGTTTGGATACTGCAGGCTGCTCTCAGCATCAGCAGCCCTGCAGGAGGAGGAGGAGGAGGAAGGAGGGGGTGAACAGGGGACCAGCTGGGAGCATGGATCTCTGTCAGCTTTCCCAGCTGTGACTTCCAGACAAGTGGTCGTCATTGAAATGAAAAGAGCAAAGAGAGGCCAGTTAACAGACTAATTCATTAAATTAAGACTTTTCAACATGAAAAAACGCATCGTTTAAGGCAACGTTACTGTTTTTTAATCCACTTTTGATCGATTAGAATGATATATCTAAAGAAAAAAAGTTTATGTTTATCAATTTTTTTATGGTTATATGCCATCTAGAATCCGAACATATCAGAGGTGATTTCGATATTTGTTTAAAATTTTGAACACATTTGTTTCAAGAGGGTTAAGACATTTTGCTAGTGTTGCCTCGTGTCTTAAAGAGAGGCACAGGCATCAGCTGATCTGGCAACCCCCACCCGGATGCAGTTATTCAAATACAACAGAGCAATTAGACAGATGAAACATGAGATGAAGAATAATTAGGGTGGAAAAATTAATAGGATTAAAAAAGTCAGCTTGCACCGGAGATGACTTCTAATAAAATTGATCACTTTAGTCACCTTTGAAAATGTTGAAATTGTAGTGATCAGTTACTCAGCCAGTTAGAATAAACCCCAAATCAGCTGTTTTGTATATTAATGTTTATTTAATGAAGTCCTCTAAAATCTTTACTTTTTTACTATTTTTTACTTTGTTCCTCAACAAACAAATCTTTATGATGACCGATTCAAAGATATACTTCAAGTGAGAAGCACTGTTTCTGTTTGTCTTTGTGTATGAAAAGGTGTAACCATTTTACACACGTTCATGTTCACATTACACATACATTTGAACAGTCACCACATGGTTTAAGTTTTAAGAATTTCACAATTTTTAACTTATTTTTTTTACTTCTAATCTGGCGCGTCTTTATCATTCTGTGACATTAACCGAGGGTGAAAGAAAGTCAGAACAAATGACAGAGAGGAGAATATTTCCAGATATTATTACATCCAAAGAACCATGATAGACATAAAAGGCCCCATGTAGTTGCTGTGAACAGGGGTTGTGGCCAGTAATTCCTTGCCTTTTCTGTCATTTCCATGTTAATTTCTATGTTTACAATTAAAAGCCCCCCTATTATTTATTCCACTATTATTTCCACAGCTCAAAATCCTATTTATTAGTAATTTGTTAGTAATTGAGTTATTTAGGTTTGTGAGTTATAAGTAGATCAGTGTTTACAAATAACAGAAATCATATTAAATAACAACCAGTATAAATAGCTGATGATTATATGAGCAGCACCATATACAGGATGGGGCCATTGCCATTCTGTCTTTCCTGTCAGTTAGTCGTATAATAAGTCCTATTATATATGTTTTCTTTAAAATTCTCAGCTGTAATTGTACCAAGTTTGATGCGGGCCTGTGAATAAACACCTTTTTTCTTTTATGGTAATTTTAGATAATCAATGACAGTCTTACTATACACTGTTAATCCAATTTATATGATTCATCTGAGACACAGCAGCTTATAAGCGTGGCTGGTCAGAGGGGTTTGTCAGTTAACACAGTCTACAAGCTGTGTACTTTAGACTGCTTTTCCAGTCTGTGTATAACTGACAGTTTGGTACCCATTTGATATTCAAATAGACACATATGCTGTGGTACCTAAAATATCGGTAACCCAGTAACCTTTCAGATAGCAGGCATCATGCTGGCCTATACAGACATTTCTGACTGTTTTGTTTGTGGGTTATTCATGTACAGTTATTCCCAGACTCCTTTCTTTTTTTAAACCCCTGTTTGTATCTCTATCTCTCTGATTTTTGTTATGTCCTGGATTAGTTCAAAGGACAGACCAGCTTCCCCACAGCCAGTTACTGTGTGACAACAGACAAAAGCAGGCAAACAAACTGTAAACATCCTGTAGACTTGTAGACTGAATGGAGCTTTGAGCCAACAATGTAATCTGCACATGCGGAGGAAAGGTGAGAAGTGAGATTTGTAGCACACACTTTGTAGTTTCACTGGAGAGCTTCTGTCTGGGTTAATGTCAGGAGTGTCGTGTGTGGAGGCGAGGAAGTGACGCAAACGCAGGACTCGTGGATAGTGAAGAACTGAAGATGGTTTATTATGAATCGTGGATGAACAGGGCAGGAACGAAGGACTGACTGGCTGAAAGACTGAACAACATCAATGACACGACAGTGAACGAGTAGAAACAGAGGGCTTAAATACACAGACTGATGAGGATGATAATGAGAGACCGATGAGTACACAGCTGAACATAATCTGGCTAATGACACGAGACGAGCTGACACAGGAAAAGCAGGAAGTGAGAACATGGAAGTGGCAAAATAAACTGAACATGAACAAAACTGAAAGCACTGGGTCAACGACCCAGGAACCCTGACAGTTAACAGTTTCACAGTGTTACATCAGTGTTGATAACTAGATTATTTTCCTCTACAGTTTTAGAATTCCTACAACAAATGTTACTAGTGACTGGAAAAAGCTATTGTATAATGGCAGAAAGAACCTTAGTGAACTGGTATACCAGTTCTCACCTCTTGTTATGACTAAAACAAAGCAGCGTCTGAGAAACTTGTCAAAGTTTGCCTTAAGTCAGTGAGGTGTTTACAGTTAATGATTTATATTTGTTTTGTTGCTTCAGTTGAACATGTTCTAGGGCTTAAAATATAGTCATTAAAGAATAGGAGTAAGGCTTCAGTTTTAGAAACCAGTCAGCAACTACCAGTCGCTAGGAAAAAAAATGTCTTCTCTGTTGTTGGTAGTTGCTAAGTGAAACTGGTTACAACCCTTACTCACGCAAGTTATGAGTGAGGGTTGAGGCAACTGAGAAGGAATCTCTAATTGCTCACCTTTATGTGAGTAATTTCACATTGCAACTGTCAGCAGTCACTCAACCAACCAGCCGGGGGCAGCAGCTGGTCTCTAAACCTGTGAATGAATCTTCACCCAGTTTGGTTCAGGCACAAGGTCACGATTTACTTACTGGTTGGGTTAGGCATTAAACCCTACATCGTTAGAGTTTAAAGACCAAATCATTCTTCATTTACTTACATAGTTATAAATGCACCTGCCTGTAAGCTGCAAGGATTGATAAACATTGTTCAGTTTTCCTCTTTTGTCCACTGTCCAGACTGCTGAGGCTATAGCTTAACAGAAACCTGACTCTGGCATGAAAGGCATGACGACAACAACAGAAAACAAATGAAAGAAATAGTAGTCACCAGTATTGACGGTGTATGTGTGAATGAGTGAACAGTATTCTGCCAGACTGGTGAAGGCCCAGGTGTCTCCATTTACCCTGATGCTATGTTCCCCCAACTACTGGAACAGCCTGCAGAAACACACATAAACAGGACAGAGCAAGAGGGGGTAGTGTAAGGACTCTTGACTGATGACTAATTAAGTATTACCTTAATCCAACGTAGTGTTTTTGTTGGTTTTTAAAATTCCTTTACATGCAAGTTCAAAGAACCCATTAGTCCTTCGCTGGATGAGGTACAAATACTGCCACCTCTTCAACGTCCTAATGCAGATTTTGTCATTCTGCTGTTATCTCTCAGCAGCCCCTATCTGAATCATTCAGAGGCTTAATTATAGCTTGAACTATTCCTTTGCTCACTTCTAAGAATGCATTCTTCACAAGATGTAACTTAAAAAGTCCAGTATAGCAAAATTCCAATGAGGAAAAGTTCAATATAATATACATCATCTTTGGCATATCTTTTCAAACACTATGGTTCATATATTTATTCCTATTTACTAGGGGTGCAACTATACTCGTATCAATATTGAACCGTTCGATACAGTGCTTTCGGTTCGGTACGCATATGTATCGAACAATACAAATTTTTAAATTTATTTGATCAACTTTTCTTCTGACGATGCTGTCTGTGTTGAGAACTCAGTGGATCTGCACTCGACAGTGCAGCCTAGGCGGAGTAGTGGAACGCAGATTCACTGAGCGCAGTACAAGCTAGCAAGAAAGAAGCTAAGCTCTCGTTGCAACATGACAAATTGAACCTCCCCCACCCTAATTCAGATCTGGCGTTTGGAACTATCTTGGTTTTAATGTGAAGTATGACCCTGAAGGTAAGCGTGTCATGGACAAAAGTAAAACAGTATGTCGGATGTGCCACGCAATGCTCAATTGATGGGAACTAGTGCGTTAGCGCAGTTAGCTTGTTAACGTGTTGACGTGTTGACGCCGTCCAGCCCCACGCACGGGGCGATCCGCGGTAGCTCGTTAACGGAGATTTGCCATGTTGTGGCATTAACGTCATTTCAACAAGATTTACGCTGACAGCACTAGTGGGAACACAACGAATATGACTGCACATTTATGCCGACATCGTCCTAGTGCAAAGACCAGTGGAAGCAGACAAAAACAACAAGCACGCATGCTACAAACTTTACC